TTGGACTTCAACTCCCAGAAGGCTTCACCACCACCTCTGCTGGCCAGGATTTCTGGGAGTTGAAGGCCAAGAACATCTGGAGGGCCACAGTTCGACACCACTGGTCTACAGGGTCCCCTGTTGTGCTCACTACCATTCACACTTGTTGAAACAGCACTGACAATTGCTTTGTGCCTTTGTTTTTTTAAAGAAAAGTGTGTGCGGCAGGTGGGAGTACATGCATGCAGATAGGTATGTGCGTGCATGCATGCATGTGTGCAGAAGTGCATGTGGTTGTGTGGGAGTGCATGCACATGAGCGCATGTGGTTGTGTGTGCAGGTGGGGAGGAGTGTGGGCAGGTGTGCATGCAGGAGTGCATGCAGGTGTGAGTGCATGCGTTTGGGCAGAAGTGTGCATGTGCATACGGGTGGACAGGAGTGCATAAAGACGTGTGTACAGACGCACATGCACATGTTCCTCGGCCCTCAAAAATATCACAAGTATGTTATGTGGCCCTCCGTGTGAAAAGTTAGCACAATGCCCCCAAGTCATAAACTGGAAGGTTTTTGAAGAATTAAATCTGTATCAAACTCATTGGAGCCTTCCTCAACTTTTTTTTTAATTTTCCCCACAAAGAGCTTAGTTGTCTGTGGCTATTCTGCATCAAACAGGAGGCTACACTCAATGACCTTCAAAGTCCTTCTAATTCTAATATTTTGTGGCTGAAATTCTGTTCCTTAATATAGCACATCAAATTAGAGGAGGCCAAACTCCTCTGTACGTTTCATTCATACAAATGGGTCTACTCAGGTTGAAACTAACTACACTTTCTTGTGCAAGTTTTTGCAGAAGACAACAGAATCTGAATTTCAGCCTATGTACTGCTGGTTACTAGTTCTCTCTTTATAATATGGAATATCAGCTTCACTTGTATATACTATGTCTATTCCTGTGAGCAGACTGTTATATTAACAAAACCTTTTGCCATTTGAAAGTGAAGCATTGTTGATGATTATTACACCTGGAAGTTAATATTTCATAGAATTTATTCTAAGTTTTTACAGTGGATGCATATTTTATATTCTCTTTGTGAAGTCATATACAATAATGCTGTATTCTGCTATGCCATTCATTCATTCATTCATTCATTCATTCATTCATTCATTCATTCATTCATTCATTCCTACCTACCTACCTACCTACCTACCTACCTACCTACATACATACATACATACATATATACATACATACATACATACATACACACATACCTATGCATGTTGGTGGTTGTGTCCAATGACCATTATGGCAAGTTACTTCTGCATTTCCATCCATTCTGTACATGTTTTGGCATTTATAGTGCACCTTTTCTCCTGACATATATTCAGACTGGGCCATTTCCAAGATGTCTCCATTGTCTATAGAAGGTGGGCGATCACATCTTCCTTCAACAGCTGTAGTGACACATTGAATTAGAGAAGGAAACTGTTAGCTGACACACATGAATATACCACCACAAAGCTCAAGATGGTTTACACAAACGTGCCAAACATTATCATGTTGGCAAAGATCAGAGTGGCCTGCAGAAAATTTACTTCCAAACATGATCATGAGGAGGGGGAGTAGAACCCCCCACCTCTCCCACCATGCAAAAAAAAAAAAAAAAAAAAAAAGGACCACACACATATTTGCCTGGGCTTCAGATATGGAGGAATAACAAATCTCCATGAAGCCTTGATAAAACTTTGTTTCAAAAATACCTTGCCTAAGTAACAGATTTCTGAGTAATTAAGTGATAAAAGCTGGTGGAAATATTTCCGCATGAGATAAGAGGAAGATAAGGCAATTTAAGAACAAGTCAAAAGTGTAACAGAGATAAAAGAAAGAGAAGGCAATTTAAGAAAAAGTCAAAAGTATAACAGCATAAATCCTCTGCCACAGCTAGAATTGTAAGTGTCTCCATCAGGAGAGAAGTGGAAGAGAGGAAAGCTGGAGGTAAACATGTAAAACAAAATGAAACAAAGTATAATAGAGAATGGTTGTTGTAGGTTTTTCGGGCTGTTTGGCCATATTTTCTTCCTAACATTTTGCCAGTCTCTGTGGCTGGCATCTTCAGAGGACAGGAGTTAGAACCCTGTCTGTGTTAGGGTGTAGTGTGTGGGATAATTGAGTATTTTTAGCTGTGGGATCAGCTTTTTGTCCTTTTCAGGAGATTGGGTGATTATGATTATCAGGGTGTTTTTTGTTATGGATGTATTGTTGTGATAAGGGGGAGATGATCTGTCACTGTGACTGATGAGTGTCGTTAGCTAGTCTATTATTCAGTGATCACTGGTCCTTCTGGTTGGGTAGAGTTCGTTCACCTTTTTGCAGGATGTAGTTTTCAGTGATGGGAGACAGGCTTTGTTGAGTTTTAGACTTTCTCATTTTTTGTTGAAGCTTTGCTGATGTTCGTGGATTTCAATGGCTTCCCTGTGTAGTCTAACATAATGATTGCTGGTGTTGTCCAGTACATCTGTGTTTTGAAATAAGATTTCATACCCAGCTTGTTTCAGGGCATGTTCAGCTACTGATAATTTTTCTGGTGGTTTTAGTCTGCAGTGTCTTTCATGTTCTTTGATTCTGGCATAGATGCTGCATTTTGTGGTTCCAATATATACCTGTCCACAACTGCAAGGTATCCAGTATATTCCTGCAGTGGTGGTGGGGTCCCATTTGTCCTTTGCTGACTGTAACATTTGTTGTATTTTTGTGGTGGGCCTGAATACTGTTTGTAGGTTGTTGTTTTTACAAATGTTTCCCCATGCAGGATTTAAATTGTCATGTTTCTTCTGTCGTTAATTGTCCTTTCCCTTTTATTAATACAAACTGTATAAAATCTCCCCAAATATGGCAATCCTTTCTTTAATATCACATGTTTACTTATCATTGCTATATTCCAAATCTCATTATACCATTCAGTTTTTTGAAAATCATTCTTTACTTTTTTTTGCTATCATTAAACTTGCTGCTGTTAATGAAATGGAAGTTAATTATTTCTTTTACCCTTTACATTGCACACCATCTAGGAGAGATAGCCATGTAATTTTAGGGAGGACGTCCATATTTAGATGCGATATTGCTTTTATCTCATTAAAAACCAGCTTCCAAAAATTTGACACTGTTATACATTCCCAGTATATCTCCATTTATGTACCCATAATTTGATTACTTCTTCAACATTGTTTGGAATGTTTATTATCCATACAATATAATTTCATCGGTATTAAAATGGAGCCCAGACTTACCTGGGCACCCCAGTTGGTGACAAGAAGGGTTTGCTGCTGGCCACCATCAACCTTCCTTTCTTCTTTTCAGGAACATAAAGATGTGAAAGTTATCAAAACCTAGCAAGGGGATCTTCCTGCAAAATGCACTCTACCAGAGTTGCAAGTGTGCATTCTGTGCCAGGCTTGCTACAACAGTGGCCAGACTCAGGTTAACAAAGGGTATGAAAAAGGACCTACTAGTTTGGCTAGCCTTACTGGCATAATTCATCAGGCAGGTCATTTTGTTAGGTTGGGAAATGGGCAGTCCTCTCGGCATGGCTGGTGCATGCTCTTTATGCAGTAATGATCCTTGTTTGTTTGTCAGCTATCATAACTTTCTGAGCCAAGTTTGTTCCAGGCATGGACATTACCATCTCAGAGGCAGGTTTCCTCAATCCCAGAAGAGCTCTGGAGCTTGGAAGTTGGAGATGCTCCAGGGAGTATAAGACTCCGTTGCTCCCTTCCACGTTTAGGGCATGCTGTGCTGACGGGGTCTTTCTCATCCTTTTCAAGCTTAAGGGATGCACCACCTCCTTACCAAACAACAGAGGTGGATATGCTAGATTATCTGGGACCTCGAAGACACCATATGTCCCTTGCACCCAAGAGGCTGTACAACCATTCGACAGTGATTTTCCTTTAGTCAGACACAGAGCTTCCTTGAGGTGAGTTTCTAGTTGGGTGGGAAAGAGCCTCTCACAATGATGGTTGGTCCTCATACGTTTGTCAGTCAATATAAACTTTTCATTCAAGTTTGATCCAGACTTTGATGACACCATCATGGTTCTAGCTTGTTCCCAGCAAGGCAAGATCAGCCTGCACTGCAGGCAGGCATCAGTCCAGACCCATTTCTAAAAGAGTGAGCGTGTCTTGGAAGTCACCAAGGGAGCATACAACTCACTCCCCCCTTCCAATTTTAGGGCATATAGGGGAGCTTTGGGCTCCGTATTCTCCTTTCTCAGCTTTAAGGGGTATGCAGCCTCCCTCTCCAAGGCAGAAGAAGCAAGCTTAGAATGCTGTTCACCCAATCCAGTGGGAGAGATGGGTCTCAGACGGGAGGACAGCCCATCATCCTGCCCATTCCTTATCTGATGACATCTAACTCAGCTGGATGTGTTGGTCCTTGTTTAAGACAGCATGCATGATAGCCTTCAGGGCCCTCAAGCTGGGGAGTTGGGAGCAGGTTGCAACATTGGTTTCTCTCCTCAAGTATACCTTCTTTGAACTCTTTCAATTTCAATACCATCTAACTCTTTCCTTCTAGGTTGTATTTCTGCTAAAGTCTGGACTTCTCTATCCGCAATATATTTCTTCTCTAATTTTTTCATCTCCTCTTATGTCCTGCTTTTTGTCTTTTTAAATTAAATTCTTCCTTGACAATTTGCCCAGATATAATTGCCTTTATAGTGTTTCATATTACACATTCTTTATTTCCTCCTCTCTCATTAATCTCCCATACCTCTTTCAATTCCTTCTCCATTTTATCAATTTTATTTTTATCTTACTCTAATTAAATCCATTCTCCATCTTTCTGCTTCTTTGTAATGAAATTTAGTTTTAAAATCCATATTAACTATAACATGATCCAATATCTTAATGTCTAGTAGGCATCCTTCAGTCTCCAGAGACTATGGTAATGTGCTCTGTATGGAGGTCTTGGAACAGTGTCTTGTGTGGCTGAGAAGGCCAATTTGAGAGTGACAATCTCTTCCACATTGAAGACACATACAAATCTGCCCCCTGTCCAGCTCCCTGGTTTTGCTTGTTTCGGGACTGCCTCTTTGCCTCGGCCTGTTGTACAAGTGTCTCTTCAGGCCATGATGCACCTGAACACTCAGACGTCAAGGTTTCCCATCTGTTGAGGTCCATTCCTAAGGCCTTCAGATCCCGCTTGCAGATGTCCTTGTAACACAGCTGTGGTCTCCCTCGGGGATGGCTTCTCGGCACTAATTCTCCATACAGGAAATCTTTTGGAATCTGACCATCAGCCATTCTCACAACATGCCCAAGCCAATGTAGACAGCACTGTTTCAATAATGTACGCATGCTGAAAATTCCAACTCGTTGTAGGACTACAATATTTGGAACTTTGTCCTGCCAGGTGATACCAAAAATGTGTCGGAGACAACACATATGGAAGGTGTTCAACTTCCTCTCCTGCCGTGCACAAAGGGTCCAGGACTCGCTGCAGTATAGGAGTGTGCTCAGGACACAGGCTCTATAGACCTGGATTTTGGTGTATGCCGTCAACTTCTTATTAAGCCATACTCTCTTTGTGAGTCTAGAGAACATGGTAGCTACTTTCCCAATGTGTTTATCCAGCTCGACATCTAGGGAGAGAGTGTCAGAGATTGTTGAGCCAAGGTACACAAATTCATGACCAACCTCCAAATCTTGGATGGAGATAGTAATAGAGGGAGGTGAGTCCACACCCTGGCACATGACTTGTGTTTTCTTCAGGCTGATAGTTAGTCCAAAGTCTTGGCAGGCCTTGCTAAAACAATTTATGAGTTGTTGGAGGTCTTCAGCAGAGTGGGCAACAATGGCTGCATCATTGGCAAAGAGGAAGTCCCGCATGCATTTCAGTTGGACTTTGGTCTTTGCTCTCAATCTAGTGAGATTAAAGAGCTTTCCATCTGATCTAGTCCGGAGATAGACACCTTCTGTTGCAGTTCCAAAGACCTGCTTCAGCATGACAACAAAGTAGATCCCAAACAAGGTTGGCGCAAGGACACAGCCCTGTTTTACTCCGCTTCGGATGTCAAAGGGATCTGATGTTGAGCCATCAAAAACTACAGTGCCCTTCATTTCCTCATGAAAGGACCTGATGATATTAAGGAGTTGAGGTGGACATCCAATCTTGGGAAGTATTTTAAAAAGTCCGTCCCTGCTAACCAAGTCAAAGGCCTTTGTGAGATCTATGAAGGCCACAAAGAGTGGCTGTTGTTGTTCCCTGCATTTCTCCTGCAACT